TATGTATAGGCAACATGGATTTTGCAGAAGAATTTGGCCACTGATGATTTTTTTTTTTTTTTTTTTTTAAGAATGACTTTTTCCCAATATAGGGGTTTTTTTTTTTTATCATAGTGGATTCTTTTTTTTGGGAGAGGTTTTTCCCATCATAGTGGATTCTTTTTTTTGGGAGAGGTTTTTCCCATCATAGTGGATTCTTTTTTTTGGGAGAAATGTTTCCCATCATAGTGGATTCTTTTTTTTGGGAGAGGTTTTTCCCATCATAGTGGATTCTTTTTTTTGGGAGAGGTTTTTTGCTATAGGGCATGTGCGCTCGCCAGACAGAGACAGAGAGATAGAAAGCGAGAAATCACCCCCCCGGGGGGATGGCCACGCCACAATCCCTTCTCCTTCATTCTCCTCTCGGGATCTTGGGCACACACGCACACGCACCTGGCGTGAGTTTTAAGCCACCAGGTCCGGTACGTGAACCGTGGTCGACTACATGGGAGTCCAGCGATATAGCCATTACGCTAACTGCTGGTCCCGCCACTGATGATTTTTCACATCTGATTTTTTTAGCCTCTGGGTGGATTTAGGTGGCCTTTTCTCCAAGGAGTCCTTAGTAGTCACAGTGTTTGAGAACTTATGTCCCCTTCTCTCCTGAGTCGGTGGGGTTGGATGCAGGGCGGGGAGGTTAGTCCTGTGCTGAGGGTGCTGCCCCCCACCCATGCCAGTGTAGCAGGGGCCTGCACTGTGGACGTGTTGATTTCGCACAGCTGGGGGCTCATAAGAGACCCCGGGCTTTTAGGATTCTTTGGCAGGGGCCATCATATCATACCCAGTGAGGAGCTTCTCATAAACTGTTGATTCCGTTCTTGCTGTGATCCCTGAGCACAGGTGGATACGGAGGTATTTCGGGAAAGGGCTTAGGAGCCTTTTTGGAGCCCAGACTCCTGCCTGGGCCCTTGGAAAGGCATGTGGAAATGCATCTTCTGCCTGTTTCGGTCAGCTATGAAGGACCCCGAGCTTAAAATGATTAAGTAATGCCCTGGCTTTCCTAAGTCTTTTAATTAAAAGTAAAGAAGACGAGGTTTGAATTTATAGGAAGGCCTAGCGTTTAGCTGACTGAAATGTGGAAACAGATGTTGTCATCAGGTGTTGCCATCATGAGAAAGGTGACCACAAAGAACATAAAGCCACCAGACATAAGAAAACCAAGTGTCATTTCCCCGATGCTCCCCCAGGTGGGAAGTCAGCCTATTCCTTAAACGGGGTGGACAGGTGTGGAGGGCGCTAGCGCCATGATGTGGAGTCGCGTGTGAGGGCCTTCTGCCGCCGGGCTCCGCACTGCCTGTGCCCCTGCTCGGCTGGGGGTGCCAGCCTTCACCCCGCCTGCGCGTAATCTAGGAGGAGTCATTCTTTATTTCTGTTATCTCTGTATCCCTGGGCCCCTCCCTCAGAGGAGGAAAGGAAAGCTAACAGGTGGGAAGTGGCGTGTGGGGTCTTACAGCGTGGTAAGCTCGTGAGTGGGGTTTGCACTGCTCTTCTCTGTGGAGATGTTCAGAGAGGCCGGAGGAACGGCTGTGTGGACCTCTGCCTGCTGCTCCAAGTGCTGAGGCCAGGTCCTGAGCCAGATGCCTGTGCGCGCGGCAGGAGGCCTTCTCAGTCTGAGGCCGTGCCCAGTGCTTGGTTCAGCGCATCTTTCTAACAGGAACGTTCTCAGGGTGCTTGGCAATTGGTACCCCTTCTACCAAGGAGAGGCACTCTCCTCAGAGAACGAATTCTGGCAGCTGAATCCTAAGGTTCCTTTTTGAAATAGGTCATCTTTGGCATTGAGTTCCTTCTGGCTACGGGAGACACCGGATGGCTATAAGTTCAGGCAGAAATTGCCAAGGGGCAGGGTGCCTGCCCCGGGGAGCCTCGCTCTACCACTGCCCTGCTGTCCACGGCCTTACCGAGACCGCCTTCTAGCCCAGGGCAGCGCGTGGCCCAGCACAGCTGCCCACATGCTGGTGCAGAGCTCTGAGCAACATGCCACCCGAGCAGTGCATGCTAGTGCAGAGACCCCTGCGTGCACCGGGGACCGCCTCCTTCCCAGGTCTTTCGGGACGATAGAAGGAGTAGTGGGAACAGCTGTTCCCTAAGCCGTCCGACCAGGCCAAAGACAAAGAAGCGGTTCATTAAAGTCAGACATCCCTCTCAGAACACAGGCCATCTGCCAGCCTGGCCCCAAGGACACACTTTTGTCCCACAGCTATCTCTGTTCTGCTACCTCGTCGTACAGCACATCACCCCAGAGCCCAGTGACCTGGGACCGTGATTGGGTGTTTGTCACTGTGCCTTGGGCCCATGGTGGTTTTGCCCACTTAGTGCAGGCCTAGCTGGAGTGCCTGGCTCAGTGTGTTGAGCATTTGGCTTGTGCCTGGGTTCTCCTCCACGTGGCTGCTCTTTGGCTTGTGCCTGGGTTCTTCACATGGCTGCTCCCATGTTGATGGAGACTTCCACGAGGGTGAAGCGGCAGCTGCAGGCGAAGGCTTAGCCCTGGAAATGGCACAGTGTTGTCGCAGTCCTCAAGGCCAGCCCATGGACTCGGCTCCCGGATGGCAGCCTTGGGCAAAGTCGCTGAGGGGCTGGCTTCAAGGGGTGGGTGACACATCAGCGCCTCTGCTGTAGCAGTCCACCAGACTGCCTTCTGCTTCTGAGGGTTCTTGTCCCTCACACGGCAAGACACCCTGCACTCCCCACCACTCCTTCCCGCCTGGCTCTGAGTCTGCACTCTGCCCGTGTTGGGGCGAGGTGCGACCATGGCCTCTCTGGACTCTGCCGTCAGCAGAGTGGCTGTCACCTCAGCAAGCTCGGCAGGTTGGGAGGAGGGCAGCTGCAGGGGGTGCTCCTGCTCGGAGATGGAGACAGACGGGGAGTGGCAGCGGAGGGACCGGGCTCGGGGGGGCGTA